CGGGGCCTTGTCAGTGTGGGGTTCATGATTGGACTTGATGATCTTAAAGGCCTTTTCCAGCCTAAATGGTTCTGGTTTGATGTCTGTGCTTTGTATTTAGGGCTGGTGGTGCTGGACTCTGTGTGAGCAAACCCTTGGAGACTGCTCCGAAAAGATGTCTGGAAAGAAAATTAACATTTAAAAAAAAAATACACTCTAAAAACAACAATTCAGGCATCGTAAAAAAGAGCATAAAGGGGCAAAAGTTGGCTGATGGCACTTAGTGCAGCGTGTTCAGAGTCTGTGGTTCAAACCTGTGTTCAGCTGTCCTGCAAAATCCCTTTTGTTCCTCACTTTCATGAGGATTGAGGGAGATATTTTAGGTTTTTCCTTCCAGCACCTGCAACGTGGCCTGTGCGAGGCTGTGCAGAGTGATCGTCCTCATTACAGCGTGAGGAAAAGCAACGCTGGGATGCCCTCCAGCTTGGTGCCCTCCAGCTTGGTGCCCTCCAACTTGGTGCTCTCCAACTTTGGGATTGGTGATGATTCTGTTTTCTTCTCCGTAGGTCTCATAGACGACCATAAAAACACTCACGGGGATGTACCGCGCCCGCTGCCATCCGCACCGCCCAGGTGGAACAACCCCCGCCAGCCTACCTTCAACAGGAGGGGGACATTTTCAACCAGGTACCCCCAGCAGCCTCCCAGGGATTTCCAACTGTCCCAAGGTCACTCTTGGAGGAAAAAATATTCCCTGGTTAACCGACCACCAGGATCGATGAGCGATTTTGGAAGCAGTGGAAGTGCCAGCGTGTCTCAGGCTTTTGGAAACTATGGGGACAACCAGGCACCTGAACCACTAGAATCATCTCCAGAGAGACACGTGGACTTAACCAGGGATGGTAACATAGTTGTGGGGATCCAGCTGCCTCAAAGAGCTGGTTCCTTTGTAGATACGAAAGGTTTTGCTGATGTGGGTTCTTCCTGTGAATTTTCTGGGCTGAAAACGATGGTTGCTGCCCCAGGTGAGGGTGAAAATACTCAACAATCTCTGTCCACAAGCAGAAATGAAGAGAGGAGACCCTCCCTCTCCGTTTCATTTAGTTCATCTCACCGCTTTGTGAGTTCAGCCTACGTGAGCACCTCGGATAAGCCTAGAATGGTGCGTCTGCCCGGCAACGTGACCGCGAGCTCCCTCACCTCCTGTGGAAGCACCAGTGAAAACGCCGTGACGCTGAAATCGGAGCCACAGCAGCCTTTGATGTTGCCAGGTCATGAACCGGCTCGACACTTGGTAAGGAGGAAAGCAGAACCACCAGCTGCAGGACAGTTTAGTTGTGAACAAGTCAGAGATGCTTTCAGAGAGCCAAAACTCTTTGGAAGTGGTGAGACGTGCTCTAGACCTTCTCAGGCTGCGACTGTGGTGGTTGGGATGACTCCAATGAAGAGCAGGTTTTCTGTAGTCCCCAAAGCTGCTGGTCTCCAAAGAGTTGCCTCAACATCCATCTCCAGCAAAGCTTCAAAGTTCAGGAAAACAAATTACACGTGGGTTGCAAACCCTGGTAAATGCTCTCGTACTGTCAAGAGATGGGTCAGCCCTAGAGCTTCTGAAAGCGTTAAGAAGGTTGCTGGTGGAGTTGACAGAGGTGCTAAACTATCCCCAAAAGCAGATTTGGGAGCAAAGCTGAAGAAATCAGGACTGCAATCCAAACTGGGTGTTTCTCCCAGTAAATATAAGTGGAAAGCCTCCAGCCTGCAGACTTCACCCTCCACCTCCAAGTCAGCGTTCAGGTGGAGATCTGAAGATCAGAAAAAGCCTCCAGCCCCCAATGTCCCTCGAGCTGGTGCCATCCCACCACCTCCGAGCGCTGTGTCTGTTGGTCTCAGTGGGGTGAAGTCCTCCTTTGGAGATGCTGCATTGTCCAGTTATAAAGTGAAGAGTAGGACAAAAATCATCAAGAGAAAAGGGAGCTCGAGGTAAGTTGCTGGTTGTCTTTGGAGCTGTGTTGTGGTTCTGGTTGTATTTTGTGTCCGTTGTCTTCACCTAAGTTGTGGCTAGGAGTGAAATTCATAGAGTCATCGAATGGTTTGGGTTGGAACTTTAAAGCTCATCCAGTTCCAACCCCCCTGCCATCAGCAGGGACACCTTCCACTAGACCAGGTTGCTCTAAGCCTCATCCAGCCTGGCCTTGAACACTTCCAGGGAGGAGCAGCCACAGCTTCTCTGGACTTCCAATTTCCAATGAGGGTTGTTGCATACTGGAGGGTATATTTACCTTTCTCTTTCCAAGTGTGATGACTTTGTTCTGTGTGGAGGAATCCTGCTTTCCAGAGTTGGAATGCTTCAGGTTTTAATTGTTTTAGCAGTTTATGTAACTCTGACTTCAACCTTTCAAACAGAGCTTGGTTTTCTTCTCATCTCCCATCCCTCTTCTCTGAAGATTTTGTTGCAGCAAAGGAGACTCCTCCCTGACCTGAATAACAGACTAATAATTCAAAGGGAAGGGAGTAGCTGTCTTCCTTTATTGATTCATTTTCAACCTCCTGTAACCCTTGGTGTCATCCTTTTGTGCTGTCCATCAGGAATCCAAAGTGTCCTCCCTGAAGGCTTGTGGTGGGTTGACCCTGGCTGGATGCCTAGTGCCCACCAAAGCCACTCTTGTCACTCCCCTCCTCAGCTGGACAGGGAACAGAAAGTGTAAGGAAAGGCTCGTGGGTTGAGGTAAAGACAGGGAGAGATCACTCAACAGTTATGGTCGGGGGCAAAACAGACTTGACTTGGTGAAATTAGTTTAATTTATTACCAATCAAATCACAGAATCCCCTCAATTGAAAAAGCCCTTTAAGATCATCGAGTCCAACCACAAACCCAACACTGACAAGTCCCCTATGACTAACCCGTGTCCCTCAGCACTGTGTCTACACGACTCTTCAATCCCTCCAGGGATGGGGACTCCACCACTGCCCTGGGCAACCCCTTCCAATGCCTCAGAACCCTTTCAGCAAAGAAATTCTTCCTCACATCCCATCTCAACTGCCCTGGCCACAACTTGAGCCCATTTCCTCTTGTCCTGTCCCTTGGTCGAACAGACCCACCCCCACCTCTCTCCACCCTCCTCCAAGGGACTTGGACAGAGCCACAAGGTCTCCCCTCAGCCTCCTTTTCTCCAGGCTCAACAACCCCAGTTCCCTCAGCTGGGAACTCAGCACACTTGTGCTCCAGACCCTTCCCCAGCTCCGTTGCCCTTCTCTGGACACGCTCCAGCACCTCCATGTCTTTCCTGTAATGAGGTTACCTGCACTCATCTTTGCAGACAGTATATTTGTCACCAGCAATCCAAAAGAACCTCAGAACCCAGGTGCCCCCAGCCTCTCTGATCTCTGAGGAGAAGCTGGAACACAACAGGGTTTATTTTCTGGTAAATCTCTCTACCCTTTAACACAACAGTGTTTTGCCAGAAATTAATCACATTTGCCTATTTACTTACAATTTTCTGTTCAGTGCTTCTTGTCACCCTTGGGTAAGGGAGCAGTATGGAGCTTGGTGACCCAAGTTCTCTTCTCAGCTTTGAGCAAGGGAACCCAATTTCACAGAATCACAGAATGTTGGGGATTGGAAGGGACCTCGAAAGATCATCCAGTCCAATCCCCCTGCCAGAGCAGGAACCTAAATGAGATCACACAGGAAGGCGTCCAGGCGGGTCTTGAATGTCTCCAGAGAAGGAGACTCCACACCCTCCCTGGGCAGCCTGTCCCAGGGCTCTGGCACCCTCACTGGAAAGAAGTTTCTTCTCAAGTTTAAGCAGAACCTCCTGTGTTCCAGCTCACACCCATTGCCCCTTGTCCTACCACTGGGCATCACTGAGAAGAGCCTGGCTCCATCCTCCTGACATTCACCCTTTACATATTTGTAAACATTAATTAGGTCTCCTCTCAGCCTCCTCTTCTCCAAGCTAAAGAGCCCCAGCTCCCTCAGCCTTTCCTCAGCAGGGAGATGCTCCACTCCCTTCATCATCTTGGTGGCTCTGTGCTGGACTCTCTCCAGCAGTTCCCTGTCCTTCCTGAACTGTGGGGCCCAGAACTGGACACAATATTCCCGATGTGGCCTCACCAGGGCAGAGTAGAGGGGGAGGAGAACCTCTCTTGACCTACTAACCACCCCCCTTCTAATGCACCCCAGGGTGCCAGATCAATTTATTTTGATCACTTCTCTACCCTTTTCTAACTGTGTGATGTTCCCCTTTGCAGTTCTCCAACAGATAAGAAGAACAGCTCCTCACCCACCACACCTCTGAAAAGCCACTTCCATCTCAAGAAGAAAAACTCCTTGCGGGGGAAACCTTCTGTGACACCGAAACGTTCCTCTCCCAAGGGCCTGGTGCAGATCACCAAGCACAGACTCTGCAGGCTGCCGGCCACCAAGGTGCAGGTCTCCACCAAAGAAGGTAGGAACATCCATCCCAAGGGGTGACTGATGGTGCTTGCTCACCATGTGCGGGTGAAGTGCTTCCAAGGGAAGCTTTTGGATTTGGAAATGGGTTGCCAGGTCCTTCAGGAGTTGAATCTGCTGTTGTTGGTCCTGGAGTAAACGCTGAGGAGCAGAAGCTTGGTTGAAATAAGACTTCTGCTTTACCTAATTGCTGTCTTGTGCTTTGACATCTCCAGACAAAGCAGTTTGAAAGCTGCTTCTTGCTTTTAATGTGGTTTTGCTGGATTTAGAGACATCAAATAGGAAGGTGCTCGAGGGAGGAAGAGGATGGCAGAGGCAATAATATATCTGTAAGATTAATCTCTCTTTTTGCACTGAGCAAGAGCTTGTACATGTCATGAGATGTTCCTCTAGCAACTACAGACCCACCTAATGCACCTGTATCCCAGTTGCATGTCTGCAGGTATCTAGGTTTTTGGAATTTGTTTAAAATTGGAATTTTTAGAGGAATACAAGGTCCCTCGTGTTTGTGAACAGTAGTTTGTGTCCGTGTCCTGTTGTCTTCAATCAGTGCTTGTCAAAACAGAAATCAGCTGCTTGGGATTTGGAGAGCTGCATGATTTTGTGCTGTTTCTGGCTCAAAGTCTGACCCTGTGATGTTCTCATGGACAAGTGACTTCCCCTTCCTGATTTTCAGTTTGCTCAAAGGTCCATGAAGCACATTTTGCTTGTGTGCCTGCTCTGTGCTCCTTCATGTACGGCACGGTGACCGGTGACACTGTGGTAGGCATCATATGAGTGGGCAGAGCTGTTTGAACCACGATGTAGCTGTGATCTGCCTCCAAAATTACATCTGTGAAGCTTTGGTTTTTCAGAAAGATGCTTCTGTGGTTTCCTGTTCTGCTCTTACACGTGTGGTGATGGTTATTTCACGTACAAATAGCTCTGCAGTGAGATGTTGCTGTGTTTTGATGGATGGAAAGACAAGAGTGAAGGTTTGTGGTTCAGGAAAGGGAAAAACTTTTTATATGGGAGGAGAAGAAAAAAGATTGTTTTTCTTTTTGTGTGTGTATTTGAAGAGGGGGGTTTGGAGGGATGGGGGGGATGCTGGGAGGAGAATTTTGGATCTGGTTCTTTAGGAGGTGGGAAGTGACTCGTGGGAGAGGTGGGAGCAGGGAGAATTAGATGTGCATTTCTGCAGGTGTGTTGATGGTCCAGCATTCAAGCAGTTGCCTGACTTTGGAGATGAGTCTTTCTCCATCTAAGGATGTCAACAAACCCTTTGGTGTCTGGAGAAGCATGAAGGCTGCACCTCCAGTCAGTGTGTTGGAAGTTCTCATGCATTGCATGAAGGCAACATGTATGGTTGGAGGTCATGGATGAACTTTGGTTCCTCTTCTGTGATCTCTGAAACCAGAGGTGGTGGATATAACACATGGTTGGATCCAGCTGTGGTGGTGATGTGAGGGCAACAAGACTTTTCTTCCTTGAGTGATGGTGATGTGTGGGGTGGGGAACACAGCCCTTCAGCCTTCCAAGAATTGTCCACTGCCTATTTTGAGGTGAATTTAGGACTTGAACCTCACAAACTGCTTGGTGGGGACATTTCTTCAGTGTGGTATGTCCAGTACAAGTCATTGATTACATCTTTATGCTGTAAAACTCCTTTTTTAAAGAATTTATGGTGCTTGCTGAGAACCTGATATGAGCAGCTTTGCTGTAGGCTCTGGAGATACAGAGCAATTTGGGGTTGTGACAGCATTTTATGTGTGAGGAAATGGAGACATTTGCTTGTTACAGGGATAGAAACTGTTTGAGTGATCCAGGAATGGACTTGAGCTTAAACCAGATCCTTGTTCTCCACGTAACTTTGTGTTTACACCTGAATTTATGCAGAGCAGAGACCTGGCTGTAATTTGCTCAGCTGTGTGTGTCACTGAGGAGGTCACAGCACTTAAGGTGCTCTCTTGAGAAGTCTCCTGGCTCACTTGTGACTTAGCAAATGTGTTTTCTTTTTAGAAGCTAAAAAAATAAATCAATAAAAGTGTGTGTCCAACCAAAGTGGGTTAAGAATGTACAAAATGGATCAAAATCTCCTGCCCCCACCGGGAGCCTGACTGGCAGCTGCCAAAAAACTCGTGTCTTTTGGGAATATATTCTGAATCCCAGTTCCTTGATTGAAGGTAATGTTCTCATACTGAAAAGATTTTTTGATCTTAAACTTAAAAGGGCTGAAAATATGTAGACAGAGCAGAAATATGGTTGTTGTCCTGACTTTCATCAAAGTGAAAATTAGCAAATAAAAAAGAAAAAAAGGTGGAAAATTGGTCTGGAAGTGACTTTAGGAGTTCATTCCCCTGTCCAAAAGTGGCTCAAATAATCAAACCATTCCTGATCACAGACAAAAACCTGGTTTATAAGTTGTGAGTTGTCTGCATTGAAGTGACTTACGTTATTTCAACACCTTTGTCAGTGACATGGACAGTAGGATTGAGTGCACCCTCAGCAAGTTTGCCGGTGATACCAAGCTGTGTGGTGCGGGTGACACCTTGACAGGCTTGAGAGGTGGGCCTGT